TCCTTGCACCTGGGATTCCAAGCTAAAGAACAAAGTGCCGATCTCCGAACACTCTTGCTAATTTGGGTAGAGTAGTGCTAATGGCATGTCCTGAGCATCTCTGTTTGCTGGGCACTGAGCTACGAGCTTGGACCTCAACAGCATGTTGAATCTTCCCAGTGACCCTGTGGATGAACGTGAACTAGCCCAGGGCTTCCTAGCTCTCTACCACATGACCCTCTTTGCCCTCTTCCTGGTACGCTCTTCCCCTCTGAAATCTCCCCATGTGTTTACTGAACTGTTTTCCACACTAGACAATGAAGCCAGAGGCCAGGGACCCCCTCCGGGTTATTCCCTGCAGTGCCCCTGGCTCTGGGCACGGGGTCTACATACTCTAGACCCTCAATACAACAAAGGCCCTGGAAGGGCTGCCTCCCCATGTTCAGGGCCTGGAGAGGAATGGCCTGACACTCTCGAACTGACCCCTCCCCAGGGATGGCCAGACGCTGGGGTGGGCAGACAGCCTGCAGACAAGACTGTCTCAACACAGCACAGACATCTGACCCCAAGAGCACAGTCCAGACTGACGGACGGGCAGCCCCAGGCCCACTTCTGGGTTAGGCATGGTAACCAGCGCCTGAGCTTTTGGGAGCTCGTGAACCTGTTCTACTGTTAAAGTTAGAACAAAGGAAGGAACTTCACACCCAGACGCATGATCATCTTTACTCCAATGAAGTCGTAAAATATAATTTTTAGTATCTTTTTTTATAGAGCCAAGGGCTTACCCACCAGATAGCATCTCAGGCTCTGGCTTGGAGGCAGCACAGCAAGACCTGAGGTCCCACAACCTGTAGCCCCAGCTGACCCCCCCCCTGGACAGCACCCGGCGGCACCCACCAGTGTCTGCACGATGGCGTGGTTGGTGGCGTTCATGTAGGAGTTCAGAGGGAAGGCGCACTCCCCCTCGCAGTAGTAGGCCGCGTAGCCTTCAGGGGCGATGATCCAGTCCTGCAGGAGAGGGCAGTGGCTGGGGAGTGGCTGGCCACTTTCAGAACCACACAGAAAACCTAAGTAGCGGGGCCCTGCCTCCCATGTGGACACCCCCCTCCCGTGGGCCACGGCCAGACGGGCTCAGGGCTCTGCCATGCCCCCAAACAGGGGGGTCCAGAAGAGGCAGGAGGAACAAGAGCAGCCTGTAGCCCCAGCAGAAAGAAACAGAGTCACCAGAGGGCAGGCAGAGCCAGGGCTGTGCTCCTGGACAGGAGGCGGCACAGCAGAGAGGACTCTAGTGTTGGGGACCAGTCAGGAACCAACTGTCCCTGCCAGGTGATGACACATTACAGTTTACTGTAAGCCAACCCTCCATGCCTGGGTGGACCCGCCTGGAGGAGAGGCCAGTGACCCTCCGCACTGTGGGGGAAGTCCAGCAGCGTGCACCACCTGTGTGCACAGCTCCGTGAGCAGCACACCCCACGCTGCCTCCAGAGTCTGCAAGCCCAGGAACACTGTCCAGCAATCCATGCACCCGTCACTGACTCTCAGGGGCACAAAATCTTCCAGCCGTGACCCCTGGAGTGCGGATGCTGCCGCAACACTCCCTGGAACACGGATGCTGTCACTGGTCCCAAGGATAGACTCACAGCAGGGTGCCCAGCTGGCTGCATGCACCTTGCCTTGTGGGTGCCTGGGCACAGTCCCCATGGAAGAATCTGGACTCTCCCATTGAACTATAAGCTCCCCACGGGCTGAACAACATTGTGAGTTGCCCCGGGATCTTGGGTCAGTGCATGACCTCCGTGGGACAGACACATGACCAGGTTCCTGGCTGCACCTCAGCACCCACAGCAGGCCCAGGGGCTGTGGACACTCACGAGTGTCCATGAGGTGCTGGGTGAGTGACCATAAGGACTTGTGGAGGACGCCTGCCGGCCTGCAGGACCCTGCCCCACAATGGCTCCAGAGGGATCAGCCCCGTGGAACCTTGGGAGGGGAGGAGGGGTGGGCAGAGGGGATCCCGCCCACTAACACAGGGCCCAGCCATATGACAAAGAAACAGAGGTCACAGGATGGGAATGAGGGGCGGGAAGGCCATGAGGCTCAGAGTCCACAGTGTTGGGGCTCCTGGATCTGGGTGGAAGCTCACATTTCTGTTGGGGGTTTCTTGGGACATCCCCGTGACCCTGGCCCGCAGCCTCTTCCCTGGTTAGGCCACATGCCACCTGGAGCCTGAGCGGCAGGATGAGGTTCGGGACTCCTGTGCACACAGGGGCGCTGCCCCAGGGAGCGCGCGGGGCCCTTACCTGCCAGCCCAGGTCGCGGAAGCTCACGTACAGCTCGTGCTTCTTGCAGGCCTGCCTCTGGTCACTGCTGCTGTTCTCTGTGTGGCCGAGGAGATGAAGGAGCAGCACCCAGGGAGGAAAGCACACACGCTCACGTCCCTCCGCGTGACGCAGTGGGAGCATGATCACTCCAGCCAGAGGGCGGCTGGGAGATCTGGCCTGGTGCTGCCCACGCAGGTCCCTGCCAGGGGAGGTGCCCGGCCCCTCCTCTCCCCCACCAGCTCAGCCAGAGCACCTTCAGGACCCCTCTGGACACTGGCTTCCCTGATGGAATGCTGGCATGTGCACGAGGGTCCACGAGGGGTCAAACCCCACAGCAACCCCACCTGGCTGCACAGCCCTGCTCAGAGGGGTCTGCTTCAACTGTGCGGCCTAGGAGTGAGGTCAGAGCACCCCTAGACTTTCTTCCATCTGGGGGACAAGAGGTGTGCAGAAACACCTGGAACAGAGTCCCCCCACAGCACCAGGAAGAGATGACAGAAGCCAAACCACTGATGGCCAGCACACACCCCACTGCGGTTCCCACGGGAGCAGCCACAGTGCCCTGGGGTTTTCCAGAAGCGTACGTTGGTGAGCCTCAGGTCAGGCCCGGGCACTCGGGACCGCTGCAGAGTCTGCGCACGCCTCGCACACGCACGCTCTGAACGCCCGCTTCTGCCTGCGGCTGGGCGTGCTTTCTCCTTAACCATGACCTGCCCATCCTCCACCTTTCTATCTGCCCAGAGTGATGTCCACCTCCGGCCCTTGCCTGGAAGGCCTGGGTGGCTCTGACTCCTGAACCATCAGCCACAGGCTGCTCCTTATGGGGGCCTTTGTGCTGAGCCGTTTCTCACAGCCCGAAGGCTCCAGTGCGTGTTCCTCCATTCTGAGTCTGGTTCCTACTGTGTATTCTAGTCTTGGCTCCAATGTCACCTCCTTAAAGAGGCCTTGTGAAGTCACCGCTGCATCTCCAAAGCCTCGAGTCCACACTGCACATGTAAAGGAGGCTCAGAGCCTCAGCCTCACACACCCCTCTAATGCTCTCGGGGCTGAGCATGCCAGTGGGCCAGGTGGCCCAGAGAATGAGCGTCCCAGTGGGCAAGGTGGCCCGGAGAACGTCTGAGAGGAGGGAAAGGGCAGGCCCAGGAGGTGAGGGGGAGCTTGCTGCGTTACCTGACCCAGGTTATAGGACTCGGGTGCTGTGTCCCCACGCCTCTCTGATGGACCCAGTGTGGCCCCTGAAAGATCTGGTACTGGCCCCTCATGGCAACCTCCCCTTTCCCAGTGACTGTTTGGGACACCCAGGCCTGAGCTCACCAGCACGTCCTGCCACCAGAGGCAGGCCCTGTTCAGGAAGGGCAAGGAGCTCAGCTCAAACCATGGGCCTGGGGGTTCTGCAAAGAGGGCCCTCCATCCTAAGGAAGACCCACGGGAAGACGCCCTGCTTCCTCCTGTTGCCTGGCAACAAAAGAATAATGAGGCCCCGACGGCTCTGGGTAGCCAGGGCCCTGAGATGAAGCGCTGCTGAGATGGCAGGGCAGGGAGCGCTAGAGCTGGGGCCGCGATTCCACTGCTGAGCTCCTGGATCAGAACCTCCCCTCGGTTCTGAGGGCAGTGCATGTTCTAGTGTTGACGAGCACGGGACGTGGGGTTCTGAATTTGCAGGCAGTCCATCCCGACTGGTGCTGCCAGCGCAGGCTCGTCCCACGTCCCACCGTGGACAGTGTGGTCTGCTTGAGTCTCCCCGGGGATGCCCTGGAGGTGCAGGCCCACACACACAGCAAGCCCTGCAGGCCAGTGGGGGCTCTCCCAGCGGCTGGCTTCAGTGGCCACCTCCACGCCAGGCCAGCTGCCTGAGTGTTCGCAGCAGTTCGCCAGGGCTCTCACACGGAGGATCGTACCACGCTCCCAGCCCACCCGAGGGACATTTAAAACTGCACACAGGCACACCTCTTAACCACTGAGTATCACAGCTGTGTCCCTCAAACCAGTGACACACCACGAGGGGGTCTGATGAAGAGGGA